TTTTTTTTTGTGGCTATTTATTTACTTATTTTTCATAAATTCTATGAGTTCGGTTTAACCATAATACAATTTAAATAGTCAATTTCTGGTCCAGCCAGTCGGTTTCTCCCTCCTACATCACATGAAAACTTCACATGATTCATATGTAAATTATTAGGTGGAGGAAAAAATATCTAAAATGTTAAATGTAACAAATAAAATTCTAAAAAGTGATATCTAAAAGTTGCACGAATGCGATAAGATATGCATATATATATGTATATATGCAATAATAATGCAAATGCCTCTCTACTTACCAAAAGTTTTTATTATTGAATTTTGTAACCACCCCAAAATTGGAAGGACCACCTAAATTGTTTATTCCATCATTTAACTCAATTGTTTTTTATTAAATTGTTTTTTTTTTCATCATTTAATTCAAAAGCTTTTATGCAGTTTGTTGAAAAAGACTCACACCCGCATGTTTAGGGATACTGTTTTATACTGTAGGGATTGCACATTATTTCCAATGGCTTGCACTTAATTAAAAAAATAAGGGGCCTCCCTTCTCAATTGCAGAAGATAAAGGGAATAATTAATCATCATAATGTTGTTTGAACCTAAAAAGAGAAAGGGAGATGTTACGGTCCTGTTACGAAACTATTCCGTCAGAGTTTGTAACCGTTAGATCAACTATCCACGACGGTTACATGATGATCTAACGATTACAAACGCTAACAGAATGGTTTCGTACCAGGAACGTTAACATTTACCAAAGAGAAATAAAGTTGCTCTTAACATTGACTATTTGAATCCAAATTACATATATAATTACAACTCAGTATATATCAATATGTGGTTGAAGAAAGTTAAAAAAAAAAAAAAAATCTTGACACGTGTAATTTGTCTACCGGTGGGTAGGTGAACAATTATGTTCAGTAAGTATATATCTTATGAAAAAATGAGACCAATCTAAATCTTGATCCAAAACTCAAGGACCAAATTGAAAAATCATCATCCATAGGAAAAGGACAAAGTTCAGTTTGCATTGTAAGTATACTTGTCCAATATAATATAATAACAACTGGCATAATGTGACAAAATCACAATTATAAAACAGCCTATGTACAGATCTCACCAGTGAAAGTACATAATCTGAGTGAGATGGTTTGAAGTTTACAGAGGAAGAAAAAAAGGAGATATAAAATGGTGTATCAAGTTATAAGGTATATGAAAAAATAAAAAAATAAAATAAAATGTAATGAATGGAACATATGTATCTTCAAGTCCACAAACTTCAGAAAAGCCAATGCTTCTTCCTCTGTGTTCTTATAGGAAACTCTGGCAAATATTGGACGAATATTAGCCTCCGTAATATCACAAATTCTTGTGTGAGACAATCTAACCGTTAGGCGGGTCGACTCGTCATAGTTTTCTTTTTTTTTTTAATAAAAATGCATACTTTATTCTATGAAATGTCATACTTTTATTTATGTTGTGTTTTAGAGTACGACATTTCAATTTGAAAGTATGCATATCTGATGAAAAAAGTATTGATGTCTAACCGTTATGCCCGCCTAATAGTAGCCTTACAGTTAAGTTATATGTATCCTAAGTTGAATAGACCAAATTTATTTATAAATATTGCTGGCAAAGATAAAATTTCTTACCTCCAGCTTGATACAAAGAATTATAGTGAACTTCACTCCAAAAGCTCAACCACAGCTCTTGAAAATGCAACAGAAAAAATAAAAATAAAAATTGTCAGATAAAAATGATTAAGCCAAATGCTTGGCGCAAAAATGCGAATGAAGACAATTGAGTCATTCTTTTTACAAAGTTTAATGCACGCTCGAATTTGATATTTTCGAACGACGGAACTGGGGAACATTGCATTGTCCTAACAAAAAAATACTCATTTAAAGCTACAATTGCAAATGGAGCTGGAAGAGTCATTGTTGACAATTCTCCTATTCTCCTGGCATAATGCTAAAATGGACTAGATCAAAATGGCTCAATTAAATTCTAGTGCTTCTTCTATTAGTGAAGTTTCTAGAAAGAAAATATACCAAACGACGCAATGCACCTTGGGTCGCTACGGAAACAGCCTCCTTGTATAATTACAAGGGTAAGGTCTGCGTACAACTGACCCCCCAGACCCCAACCAGTTGGGAATATACTGGGTATGTTGTTGTTGTTGTTGTTAAAGCTACAAGATATATGAAAACAATATTCTAAGACAAAGTGTAAAAGAAACAAAGAACATAAATGAATTATGCTTAAATAAGAACTGTAGGAAAATTTGTATTAAGATAATAGGCGCAATAGCGCCTATTGTCTCAACATAGCAGGTCCCAAGCCCTGATAAAGGAGGAGGGTTGTGATAGGCTTGGCGAGCCAACGTAAAACCTAGCCGTTCTATGGAGATGAAACAATAGGCGCAATAGGCGTAAATGCATAATATATTGTACCTCTGACAGGAGTTATGTCTTTAGGGAGGATTTCTATGAAGCAGGTGTCTCGAAAAGAAGTGACCAAACAGATTTTTGCTTCAAACTACACAAATGTCAAGTAGAGTGTATTAAAATTTAAAAGCCAAGGTCTTTTTTAGGTACGCAATGGTCAAAGTGCAACTTACTCGATCTGCAGCTGCTTGTAGAGTAACATGGTCTCCCCATTCCCCCATCCTACAAATTCGTGTTATAAAATTACGTCGATTTCACAATTTACCATACAGATAAAGGTATTGATGCCAAAGAATAAAAAAAAAACCACAAACCTTTTCATTTTTCTCACGTAGTGTCTGTACTTCATGGGGACATAGCTTTCGTATAGTTTCCTATGGCGTTTTAGCTGAAAATAGAAGACTGAAAATAAGGAAGAAAATAATAATTCTCAAGAAAAAAAGATGTAGTGTACTTATAATGTTAATCAAGTGCATACTTCAGATCGAACTACTGCATTAGAGGGAAGAAAAAAAAGTTATCTCCCAAGAACTGAAGGTGATTATTTTTTACCCAGATACAATAATTTTACAGTTTTTCTCGATGTAACTATACAAGTCAATAGATATCTTATTGGATGGACTATTGAAAAGCAAACACAGGCAATTGGGTTGAATCCTACCTGTTTGATGACCTCCTTTCGAACATATTTGTGGTAATCTTGCTTCTGAAATAACTGATCTGAAAGGGCTCGAAACTGTGAAAATTGCAACCGATTAACCAATAGTTGATTACAGATTGCTAAAAAATGATACAAATAAAATTATCAATAGAAGTTTATATAAAAAAAAAAAAACCCCACCANNNNAAAAACCCATCGAAAACGAAACAAATATGTAAAATAGTACAAAATGAATAAAAATCAACCTGGCAATTACCATCTCCCTCGATTCGCATTTCCGCCAAGCCATAAGTATCCACCCTGATAAGAGTACTTTCACAAATTATTCGGCAGATAACAATTTTTAACTATTTCGACTTTCCGCTTCCATTTGCAAATATTGCAAATTCCCTACTCATAAAATCCTTCTGGTTTTAAGAAAATAATTCCATATAAAATCAGATGTTTATGCACACTTCCCTTAGAATGGTTCCTTAAATCTTTTGACATGTTTCGTAGTGGTTGCGAAATATAGGGAAAACAAAAAAGAAGAAAAATGTGTGTCTCCACAAAAAGTCGTGAATTATGTAACTATCAATATAATTTCTTTGCTGCATCTGTAGTCAATATGTTGCTTAACTTGATGCAGAAGTTTCATTTTAGGCACAATTTTACTTGATCAAGAAACAAGTTTTTAAAGTAACTAATGACCATTCATCAATACATAGATTTTCAATTGTAAAAAAAGGGAAAGAGAAGAACCAATCATGGAACTTAAAATAACAACATATTATTCTGTTTATGCAGCAAAATCAAACCAGATAACTTTAGAGACGATCATCCAAACAACTAAGTTCCAAAGGTTCCTCCCGAAAATACAAAGTTGGACTTTTTTCAACGTATAATGATATTTTCAGTAGCGACAGGATTGAGGTAAAACTATAAAATAACTACTGGACCACATCATGAAAATCATCTACAAAGAAATACTGAAATTCGTAGACACCACTTAGAAACACAGAAAAGCAAAAGAAATCCAAGAAGATGTCCGAGTAGCTAATAATTCCATTTACTATATACTACATTAAAAGCAATATCACTAAAATAAATTATTCTGGTAAGTCAAATATATCTGAGGTACCAAGGAATGAAATAACAAAGCATATAAAAGGTGAATATGTATTAAAAAAAACCTCTGAGCTAGTCTCCCATGGTCTAAGGTCGCATCATTTGCATCCGGTATACTCCCAATAACCCGAGGAGTATGCTGCGAAATACAATGAAACAATTTACTTCATATAATCAAGCATGCCCTAATAAATAGGTTAACTGCATATTTCTGGGCTTTAAAATGCATGTTCTGAAGTCTGGACCATTCAATTCACTGTCTTTATCCGTTGAGACCATATCAAATTTAAAATTTTTAAACTCGTGATAGGTCAAAGTTAGCTCCCATTAGGAAGAATGCATTTTTTTTTTCAAAGAAATGAACGAAGAACAAATTCAGAGCTTTAAAACCCGTAAAGTGCAAACCTTGCGATAGCTTAAGCATACCACACACATAAGTATATACCAATCAAAAATGGTCATAACTATCACAAATGACCCAATCAATATGCAATTCTCGTTCGCAACAAAATAAGCATAAAAACAACAATCCTCGATCAGAAAACGACAAAGACTATATATATACACACAAAAAACATATACAAACCGGAATTGATTGCAGATGAGATAGCCTCTTGCCAAGCCTCCCATCATATCTCATTCTTTCGTCCTCGGCTAACATTGCTGCAATCATATGGTCATCATCCGTATCGTGTGAACTGCTATTCAAACTCGAGCTCGAGCTTGCACTAGCATTATTCCAATAGGCATCACCCATATTAATGACCAAGTTCAGAACTTTATCCCTTCAGCAAACAACCCATATACTAGATCAACACAGAGTCACAGAGCAGCCAACTAAATTAGATACAAGCAATAAACACAAATCACATTTGGAAATTTTACACAGATCATCATATACAATTCTTGATTATACTTATGAATTGAAATCGGGAACGAAAGGCGGATCTTTTTTCCTTCACTCGAAAAAAAAATTACAACCACCCAAAAGAACCCTGAAAACCCTTATTCCCAAATGACGAAAAAATTGAAGAGAACTTGCTGAAAAACAAAGAGAACGATCCGACATTAGAAAAAAATAGCATAATCTAAACAAGAAATGATGAAAGTCAAGAGAGATTTTACCTTAATGAAATCAAAAGAAGACAATTTCTTGAAGAAGATAGAAAAATAAAAATAAATTCTGAACGTGAAGCTGGTAACAAGAACAAGTAGCTGAGTTTGCTTGGAGGCTCGGGTGCGAGGGAACAATAAATCAAACGCGCGATTTCGGAAATCAACCAGCTTTCAAGACAAAACGTGTCCGGTTTAAGCTTCTTGTCTTGTACAAATGACATTTTTGCTTAAAGTTATGGGAAATGTTAATAGTGTCCCCGTACATTCAGTCGGGTATTTTAATCGTTGGATCATCTATCTTATCTAATTACATGTGGATCCAACGGTTATAACACTCGACGGAATGATATCGTAACGGGACTGTTGCATTTCCCGTAAATTATATAATAATACAATTTAATTAATGATAATAATGCTTAAAGGACCCAAGATCAATTCTCTCATATAGCCTAACGGTTTACTTGTAATTTAATTTGGTTAATTCTAAGTTATTAAACAATAAAATAAAAAAAAATGTTTGAAACAATTTAATCGTCAGATAGGTCGGTCGATCCATCGTACTAAAAAAAACTTATATACACGATATCATATTTTTGTTTATGTTTTTTTACGTAGTATAAAATTTATGCTTAAAAGTATATATATTTGTTCAAAAAAACATGATCGTCTAACCGTTAATTAAAATTTGAACTTTTCTAATTCACAAAAATCTCAAGACAATGTAACTATAACTTACAAGGATACTTGGACTCTCGAAATAAGTTTTTGATTATGTTGAAAAATTACAATAAGGTACTTAATTACCCCCTTCACAAAAAACAAATGTTCATTAGACAGCTATATAGACATTTTATTAACCAAGATTTTGAATAAACGTGGATAAATTAGCCATTGCTTCTAAACTCCCTTCTTTCCCCAATATCTTCTCGTATAGCCTCTCAATCCTATGCTTCACTTGTTCGTCCCCAACAACTTTTTGAATTCCATTTCCGACCTCTTCAATTTCAAAACCATTCATTCTCACCCCGATTTTCCAAACTTCGACAATGTATCTGCAGTTCATAAACTGGTCGCCGGCAATTGGATAGCACAAGAGGGGCTTCCTACACTGTATGCTCTCCAGAGTCGAATTCCACCCGCAGTGCGTGAGATAACACCCCACAGCAGGATGTCGTAACACGTCCACTTGTGGGGCCCACGAAACGACCCTCCCGTGGCCAGATACCCTCTCGGCGTAGTCGTTAGGCAAACCTTGCCGCCATGAGGGCCCCAACACCCAAACGAACGGTATCCTTAATGCTTCAAGGACCAATGCAAGAGTCTCGATTTTGGATTCATGGATTGGACTTACCCAACTTCCGAACGACACGTACAATACAGAGCTTGCACTCTGCCTGTCCAGCCAGTCGAGGCAGCTAGCATCTTCTTCCCACAAGCTATGATTGTTGATAGTTGCGGCTTGCATGATAAGAGGACCGATTTCGAAAACACGAGGCGTTTTACCAGCATCAGTTGATTGTGGTCGAGCTTGAGGCTCGATTTCGCCCGGGAATGTGTTCATGAGAATGCATTTGAGGTTTTTGGATCGTTCTAAGATTCGGGTCCAGAATCTGAATCGTGTGATCCTGGCTGTCGATGAACCGATGAGCCATGGGAGATCATTTGTGGTCAAAGTGGGCTCATTGGGAGACAAGCATAGAGGAGCATCTTGATTAATTGTTGGACATCCTATTTATGAACGAACATAAAATATTAAATATCATTTGCAGATGATGGTACTTAACCATCACATTGCTTGTTATAATTTCTTAAACATATAGGTAACTTTTTTCCCTAATTCAAATACAGGAATTAATAATGTTTTTAAGATAATTGATCAAATTTGAGATTTAAAGTGTTTTTCCAACTAGACATGCACTAATGATATAGTAGAAATAACCCAACCCTTACTTTTGTAGTAATGGTGGACAGTGATCATTTTACAAATTAAAATAATCTATTGTGTATGTTTAATCATTCACCAGTAACACCCAAAATAAAATTGACAACAAACAAATATAGTATATATATAAAATATTAATATAATTTCATTATTTTCTACCAAGAAAATAAGAAAAGAGACAAACTAAAAAAAGGAGAAGAAAATTATCTAAACTATTAAATCCACCGAGGTTTTGTTATTCGAGCATTAACGAATTGAGTTATAAAAAATCATATTTTCGAGCTTTAGCGCGACTCTAGCTCGACTCCACTAGTTGACTAAACGACCTGAGACATGCTATACATATAATAAATAGCTAGCTTTTTATTTAACATATATTTTTCATGTATTTTTCAACAATAGTATATAGAATATACGCATGTATATATATGATACCATTTTTAAAAAATATAACCATATTCATTCTTCAAAATTTCTTACAAATTTTCCAAATAATTTTATTGTTCTACTTTTACCATTTTCCGAAATCACCCGATTTTCGATCAACTCCGGTATAGCTCCGATTACCCGATAAGTGGCGTGCATGGCCGGCCAAAATCCAGCCACCGCCACCCCGCACCGCCTCCCGACCTCCACCGCCGGCGAAGCAAGCAAATCCGCCACCACGCAAGCCAGGCCGCCGGCGCTGACATCATCACCGCCGTCGATCATCCTCCGGATGAGTTCCTCTAGAAAAACCGGCATAGTTTCCTCCATAGCCCGCTCGATGGAAAAGAAATCCGGCTGCCCCCCGCCGCCAAGCTCGTCGGGAATCGACACGTGGAGGATACCATCTCCGGCGACGGCCGGCGGATGTAGGCGGCGGTGGATGAACTCCGGCGTGATGACCACCGGCCGGAGGTTGAGATTGGATAGGACGGTGGCTAGCTTGAGCATGGGCCTCACGTGGCCTTGGGCTGGGTAAGGGATTAAGATTATATTTTTCTTCTTTAAAGTTGTCATTTATTTATTAATGTATTTTGTTTTATCAAACAAGAATTTTGTGGAGTGTGAGTGTGTTATGGGGGTGAGTAGAGGATTGATATATAGTTGTTTTCTTATCTAATTATTTAAATTTTGAAATAATTTAATTAGGTTTAATAAAGTTTATAATTAATAATAATATCATATTCATATTATCTGTAAAAATATTAGCTAGCTAGATTCAAATGAAGGGAAAAAGTTATAACAATCAAGTGGATAGAAAAAAAAAATGGTGTAATAATTGGAGTTATTAGAAATGTTTATGTAATACATGATATAAAGCTGTGACGAGTGGCACATTTTCCTAGTTTTATATTATATACAATCCTACTTTTATTAAAGTACTATAATATAATATATATATATATATATATATATGGTTACATCAATTTACTTTGATCCCATTAGTTGGACTACACAAAAATTGGTAAACTTTATTGTATATAAAATAAATGGTTATTGGTTCCTGCCAACTGGAAAGTAACTAAATAATTGATCGAATTATAATAATTTTTATACAATTTTTTTCATGAAAATGCATTGAGACTCATCCATCCAATATATATATATAAAGAGGAAAGTGGGTTTTATTTTTATTTTTATTTTTCCTTTGGTACAATATAAAAATTGGTCCTCAAACTTTTTAAAAATTTGTCATATGTCTATCATCCATCTTGGTCCGTCAATTTATAATAAATTTAATAATTTCGGCCTCATATGATAAATATTTTACATCGACCACATGCAACAATGATATTTCAATTTACATAAACACCGTGACGATGATATTTCAATTTTAGTTCTTTAACTTTACTATGTTTTTTTTCCAATTTTACTATCTCATTTTGATTCAATTTCAATGTTGGCATATTAGATTATGACTTTTATCTATACTAATTATACCCAATAACATTTTCACATCGAACAAAACAAACACTTCTGTTCGAACTCAAACTCATTTAGTAAATAAGATTGTTCATAAACTCAAAATCACTTGCTCTCCGGCCTAAACTGTATAGGCTCTGACCATAGTCTTTTTCCCTAAGTTCCTAGCTCTTTTAGCAACTATTAAACAAGCCAACCTCTATCACGATTTGTTAATTCTTCGTCTCGATTTGTTATTTTGAAGCCTATATATATAAAAAAAAAAAAAAAAAAAAAAAAAAAAAAAAAAAAAAACTAAAAAAAAAGATATTCGGGAACAAAGTTAGTTCAACTTGAAATTGGCTCATTCGTAGGTTAAGCGAGTTAAATCAAACTTTGTTCGCGGACAGCTCGAATCGAACAATGGGGCGCCATTTTTATCCCAACCTCAATTTACAGTTTCTTAAATTTTGATTCAAACTTTTAACGAGTGCTCAATTTGGTAAGACACGAGTTCGACTCGAATTGTTTGATAAACTAGCTTAACTCGAGTCATTGAAAGCTTGTTTAGTTAATAATTTTAATATAATTTTGTTATTTATTATTTTATATAACTTTGCTAGTTGAGCATCAAGCTCAGCTGAAATTGGGATCGATGTCGTCTTCAGTCATCCTTCGCCGCCCGACCCCCCATGGCCCCGTCAGAATGATACGATCGGGTCTGCCGTCGCATCTCCGCCGCTGTTCCCCTCAGGTCAGTCCACCTCCATTTCCCATCGCCTTCAAATTACTCTAATACATATAATACGATGATCGATGCTTACTGTAAATTTGGGCCCAGTATTCTTTCGCCTCTTTCATCTTAGGGCATTGTAGGAAAAAAAATATGTCGATAGGGCTTTTGAGGTTTTCACGAAAATGCGGCAAAAGGGTTGTCAGAGGAATCTGGGTTCGTATAATAATTTGATTTCTCTGGGTTTTGTGAAGTTTGGAGGATGGATTAGGCAAAGCATTTTTTTTTTTTTTAATTTAAAACAAATGGGGGATGATAATTGTTCTCCAAATGTCAGAAGCAACACGATTAATTTTGATTGATGCTTTGTGTGGTTCTGAAAGGAATATGGAGGCGTTGATCCTTGTTCAAGGAGATGAAGAAGAAAGGTTGTGACTTGTGAGCCGGATGTTCACACATCACAGCCGAAGGAAGATTGATCTTTTTACGTGGAGAGGAAGGGAACGGAAAGCTAGTCGAACCCAATTTCGTAGGTGACGATCCCCTATCAAATTTATGGCTTCACTTCGCTTCGTTCGTTGAGTCCTTTCTCCCCCAATCCATCGTTCGTTCCACTGCAGTTATTGATGGTACGTGAGGAAAATAATGTTAGCAATGCTAGATAATGATTAGTACCTAATGTAGTGAGTAGTGACTTACAATATTTTGATCGATGGAATCGAAAAACTTTAGTCCAAATGTGCGTACTTGCAATGAGTTGATCTCTGGATACTAGTATAATGTGGGCTAAGAGAAGTACACGAGGAAATGACACTTCTTAGTAACATGCTGAATCAGAAGCTGCCTTGTAGCTCGGTTGTCAATGCTTTACGTGAAAAAGGGAGTGTTGATAAGCCGTATACATGTTGTGTTTAACTCCCTCAAAGAGAGGACTGTAAAGGTGAAAGAACTATGAAGTTTTATATATTGTATACTTCTCTGATTGAGGATATTGCAATGTGGAGAAATTAAACTTTGTCCTATGTTTGTTTGAAAGGATGCTTGCATTGTGCCGATTAAGGGGTTATACAAAGTGAAAAAGCTACTGGAGGCTTTAAAGCTTCTGGAAGATATGATGAAAGACTTTGAATTTGACAGAGCTGAGGATATTAATCGATGGTTATTTCGGGTACGAACAATCTCATTACACCTATTCTGTTCTAATTAAACATCTCTCACACGAGAGAAGCTAATTAGTGCCGGTTTTGTCTTTTTTCTTAGAAAAGTCTATTATAGACTTATAGTTTATCGCTGGAGATGCATTTTTTTTTCTTTAATTGTTGATGTATTAATAACACTAGTAGTCTAGTACAATACCCGTGTACAACACGGGTGTCGAGTTAAGAAATATATGATAAAAGTTATTAATGTCGATTACCAAACCTAACTCCAGAATAAAAATAATATGAAAAAAACATCACGAAGCATAGATTTTTGTCATATTGGCATCCGAAGCGTGAGAATCTGCCACTAAGACTCAACACGTTTGAAATTAACATATAAGGAGGGATATAGCCCAAGTATATATATTTTAGGACATGATTCAGTACACTGTTTGTAGATAATTTGTTGATGGCTCTATAAGATGTCATTTTAACGGCTTCATAATATAACTGTAATGTTTTTACAGAATTGATGGAAATTTGTTGTCCTCATCCTTCCTTAGTAGGATCATTTCAGTTTCCTCAACAAGTTATTGTCTTTTAATTATTTTTTTCCCCATTTGCCCTTATGCATGAAATATGAAATATCAATGGTTTACTTCTAATTAGTTGTTCTTATTAAGTAAACTAGATATCAAGATCTCCCAAACATTTTATACCATACATTAAGATATCATCTTTAGTTAAAACTCATTTTCAAATGATAAAAATAAAAAACAAAGAGCAAAAGAAAAAGAAAAAGAAAATAATCAACATCTTAAAAAAATATTTATAATATAAACATAAGTATGACATTTAATAATATAAGTATACATTTTTTTTTTTATTGTGCGTGACAAGTCCATTGGAAATCAAAATATTATAATAGAAGTACCACATTTGATATTATACTGTAAATTACAAATTTACAATATAATAGAAATATGACATTTGACAGTATAATTATGCATTTTGCTCTTAAATATGCATTTTTGTCATTGTTGAATTGACTCGCCTAAAGTTAAGAGTTTTTTGCTCTTAAATATGCATTTGTGTCACATTTGATATTATACATTTATACTGTAAAAAATATTGTTTGCCCATGATTAAGTGTTGCAATAAAATTGATATAAAAAAAGTTTGAAAATTGTTGTCAACTTGTCCACCTATCTCCGCCTCCTCAAATAATTAAGTTCATTTTTTGAGCTGCTGTTTTGCTGATCTGCGTTAATACAAATTGATTATGTGTTAATACTATACTTTCAAAGTATAGTATTCTCACTAATCAACTTAATTAAGTGTTAATACAAAAAATGAACAAATAAAAAAAAAAGGACCAAAAAATGAGGAAAATTGGACTTTGGCCAAATTATATGACTAATTTTAAATTTTTGCCAAAATTTTGTGTATTAAATTTTAAATGTTCACTTTATATAAAATGAAAGTCGCTAAAGACATTTGCTGATAACCGTGAAAATAAATCAATCGGTGGATCATTTTCAAGTTTATCAAGCAATATATCGCACGTGCGTTAATTTTAGAAAATTCACAAGACATTTGATTATTAAATTTATGATGAGAATAAATTTCTTGATCCTCTGCGTCTCCACAAACCATCTCTGCGTACTAACCAATAATATTTCTATATAGAAAATATCTAATAATTTAATACTTATGCCCGATTTTTTTAATGATAAACAGAAAATTATGCATGTACTTAATTTAAATAGTCAATGGTATAAAATATTCAATCACTTATTTTATTATTATTTGAAATGATGTAGTATTCAAGCTTGGTTCCTGAATTTACAAAGAAAATTTTTGTAAACTTCCAAAACTGTTGAACAATCGTACATTTAACAGTTTTGGAAGCTTACGAAATTTTTTTGTGTTTTAATGTTAATCTCAATTGAGTTTGTCTTTATTTTTTTTAATAATAATTAAATCCAAATATAATAGATAACGAACGTGTTCTTTGATAGTTTATGCAATTGTTCTTTTTTTTTTGTCAATTCTTAATACATTTTTATTAGTATAATAACAGGTTAAGTATAATAAAGAAAGTGTACGCAATTAAAAAAATAAAAAAAAATTTAACAAATAACAAGCATTTCAAGTTCTACGTTGAATAAATA